TTTACCTAGCTCTTACATTTTTCATTGAAACTGAGATTGAAACTGCAAAATTTGATATTCAGAAGTAGTTCCAATACTGAGTAGTTATTTTATTATTTATACAGGGCGTTTTCCTAATAATATTAAAGACTTCAAGGCTTCATTTTATGGCTTAATTCATGGCAAATAAGATTCCCTATATCTGTCTTACGCAAACCCTCTAGGAATGGCAGCTACTTTCATTTTGGTCCTTTTTGACTAGAAAATGTTTTTTTTAAATTGATTATATCTTTTGGTGTGGATGTCACACGCTTAAAAAATTTGATTCATTCAAGACGACATTAAATACTCAAAAGACAAATATAATTTTGTTTTCCTTTTTATTAGTTACTTCGCACGAACAAGAGTTGTTGCAAAATACTGAATCAAAAATNCCTTTCCAACGATACCAAACACGTTGACATACGTGACAACAATTTTTTTGATTTTTGCCCGCTCATACAGCACTGTGCGCCGGTCAGGTAAAGTACTAAAATTTTATAAAAAATTAAATAAAACAATGAAAAAACCAAAACTAGTCATAATGTCACTTCTATCTATATCTATCTGTCTATATCTTTCTCGATTCCTTCAGGCTGTAACAAGCAACCGGTATACGAACAAAGTCGTAATATCCTTGTGCACTACTGCGCTCGGGTATAAAAACAGACAACAGCAATTTCAACAAAAAAAATAAATAATAAAGATCAGAAAACGAGCATTGCTGTACTCCTACAGAGTTAAACGAGCATTCAACACGCATTGCAAGAATGTTGAGAACGCATTAAAATTTTGAGAGCAATACATATGTACATATGTATAAGAGGGAGAAGAAAATGAAGAAGTGGAAAAATCAGCAAAGTGCACTTTAAAAATATGATACTAAAACATGCCAACAAGAAATTGCAACTAAATCATAAGAAAAGTAGTGCAAAGCGTCCACTTGAGGCAAGCATGCAGCAGGCAGGCAGGCGGCGACGATTTAGCCGCTTGTTGCTTGCTTCTTTTCTAAATTTACTTTGAGGCAACCTAGCAGCTGGTGACCGGTTTGTGGCAAGCTTTATGCTATGGACTATGTTTGTGGCGGCTATAAACGTATGTATGTATGTATGCTCGAAAGCATATATATATATTCAAATTCGCACTAGCGCAACTGCTAACAACACCAAAGACTACAACAATAAAAATAACAACACCTCTTGTTGTGCATGAAGTGCCTAATGGACAAGTGGCAAATGCGCCAGCGCGTTTCTGGAGCAGGCCAAGTGGTTCGTGGGTTGGTTTGTTGTTTTTGTTGTTATAATTCTGGTTTCTGCTGTTTTGATTATACATACATATAGAGCATTTATCTGGTGATGATGAAAAATAGATTTTAAAAGAAATTTTATAACTGGAAAGATTTTTACCAAAGTCTTGTTCTGCCTTGGTAGCCTAAGAGGGTTTAAAAATAAACTTCCACCTAAAGTTGCCACAACTGACGCAACCGAAAAGCGGAACCAACACCAATTTCTCCATTATTTGCAGCAAGGATGGGCAGGGTGAACTTGTACACCTGGCAGAGCTGTAATAAGGACGGACCTCCAATTGTCCGCTGTCAGTTTTCCTACGGGAGAGGGGATCTACTAATCTCAGGAGATATTGCTCACTAGCAACATCACTAAAGGCCCATAATAGGTTGGCATGACCGGATACATTTTGGGACTATTGCCTATTCCAGCCCAGTGCTTTACTCTTTGCGGATGGTGCTGGATTGGCGTCCACGCTGTCCTTACTTTTCCGAGCTTAAATTAGGATGCTCAGCTCCTAGCCTAGTGCCGCAGCGCTTTGAGAGGGATACTCTCCTTGTAACGCGACCGGGGAATCGCTGAAGAGCTGGGTATCAAACCCAGAAACTGCTTTCGCCGCAACTAGATTATTTGAGCAATATGTCTCTACATTGACCTGCCTTCATTGAGTTATTTTCTGATAGCCCAAAGTGTAGAAGACTGAGAATCTAACTCTAACGGCCTACACTATGTTTCGGCTCAATAGCCGAATGTTTTTAGCCTTAGGGTAGTTCGTTCGAACCGGCGGTGTTGTCGTCAAGCCGTCCTTGCAGCTGTATTCGCAGTATGCAATGGTTGTTTGGCTTAACTAATGAATTGTTGCTTTAATTTTTCATTTGTTTCACTGATCGTATACTGAGTCGAAGTCTTCTGGAGAACTAGTATTTAAAGAAGGGAAAAAACGATCGGCCAATGTTCTGGCAGGTCTACTATTGCATTTGAAAGTTACGTTAGGTACGAGCACGAATGTCACTTTGGTTTAGATGGATGGGCAGACTCGACACCTACCTGGTATGGATCAGTAGAGTGTGGCGGAAGCAGTGCCAACTCGAAAAGGTTGCGATTGTTCATTTCGCACGATGGTTTTGATGTGGTAGTGGCTTGATGTCAGTGAGATAAATGGACAGTCGAAGCTGCTGCGTTGCGCTTCAGTAAAATGACCGGCCCCGATATAGGCAACAAAGACTGTAGTTTATTAAATTATGAGAGTTTGGGTTGGGGTTCCATTCGAAGGGAGGTCACGTTAAATCATGTTGAGACTTGCATTTCAGGATCTCGTTAAATTTTCTAAAAAGGAAATGGGGTGCTTGTCGCCGATGGCAAAGGATTGTGGTACCATGTGCATCGATTGCTCAATAGTGGAGGAAGGAATCGAATATAAGAATGAGAAAGGAATTAGTGCTGAGATCTATTCAGCGGACCTACGAATGAGGCAGTTATATCTTTTGACCGGCGTTTAAAGTGTCTTTCAGGGACAGAAACTGTACATAGATGGATCAGACGTTCGAAAGCAATCAAGAATCATAACTATCTTTGCCGACTGGCAATCTGCAATTGAAAGCCGATATGTTGCTAGCATCCCTAGGTAACTGAAACGACTCGAAAATTGGCCAAGGACTGCCTGCCTTAATAGCAATATTTAGAAAAAATCTAGGTAATTTTCGTGATATTACAACAATTACAGTAACAACAACAACGATAACAGTAATCACTATATGTGGACCAAACGGGACGACCTTGAAGTAAATTCAATTCAAGATCTTTCTTGTCGGCGTTGAACAAGACACGTACTGATGAACATTTGAAATTAGACAATTCTGCAGTGAGGGTCTTCAGCGGCGTAATCACCGAATAGTGGCCTTTTGATATGACGAATAGGAAGGAGTACTTAGTCGACTCAGCATTTTTTTTAAATCTATTAAAAATAACTCCGATCGAAACAGCACAGCGCTCAACTGTTTTTCGCCAGCTGGGTAGTGTAGATAATTGGAATTTCTTCTTCAATACAGCACCAACAATGCTTTGTTTTGGGAACCCCTTTAAAATTCTTCTCTTAACCTCTTTATGTTGGTTTCTTTCCTCAAATTATATCTGTGGCTTTTAATGGCTGTTATTAATGCGCTGAGGGCGTTCTTGCATACCTTGATTTTTCTGGCTTTTTGTGATTCCTTTTAAAATTCCTTCATTATTTTCGGTCCTTCTTTTTTTTACATGCATATGTACATACATACGTATATACCTACGCAATCAACTACATAAATACGTACTTATTTACATGTACGCTGCTTTGCATTGTCTTCTTGCGTGGCTAGTCTAGCGCTTTGGACGCTATTGACATAGCAATTGGCCATTGCGATTGCAATAAATTCCTTGTAGTGCAGTGTCGTGGCATGCTAAATCTGTTTACTTTTCGCTGGAATTTTAAGTTTATTTATTTTAGTTTTGCAAAAAGTAGAAAAATCTTCATACAAATGTACATACTTACTGCTAATTTAAAGCAGTAATGCAGAGAAAAATCGCATGCGAATTTTGCAGACTTCTTAAGTTGTGTTCTAGGAATTCGCTTTATCACTCATTAAGTTGTGAATCACCCCATAATGGGTTGATAAAATTTCAAATACTTCAAGTGCCTCTTCTTGCACATGCAAGTTTTTGTTATTTTATTTCTTTTACGTGCCAAAATTCTTGTATCAACTATTTACAAGCATATTTGTAGAAACTAAAGATAGGAAAATACTAATTTTCAATATGTTTTATGGCCACTCCGGCCATAGCTTTTGTACATCTACTATCTGCCAGACAGAACGAAACGCTTTCGATGCTAAGAGACCCGATGAAACCAGTTGTTATATTACGTGAACTGTTGATTTTCTGTTGGAATTAAAAATCCACAGAGAAATACAGAGCAGTTGAGAGAGTGTGTCTGGTATATTTTTTTATCCAAAAGTCCGAGGCCAAGTTAAATATTTTCTGCGCCGTATATGATTTTATTTTTAAGTTTTTAACAGAGACTTGAGCTATAGAAGAATATCTTCTGGTAAATAAATCAACCATATTTAACAATAGAAACAAGTGGCTAAAATGTGTCTATTAAAAATAGCTCGAAACGAACATTAAACCTTTAAAAAAAAAGTGGTTCGACTTCGATTCGTATCGAAAGTTTGTGGAAAATTTCGGTTCGGCTAATTAGTAGAAAGTAGCCGTTAATCCGGTTCGTTTCAAAACGGTTTCAGATCCCCTTCTTTAGTACTTTTGCTTCTTAATGATTTTAAAATGCTTTTCATTCAGTTTTATCGATTTTTTGTAATCATTTCTGAAAGATATTCAACAATTTTGTTTAGCTAAAGCCCATTTCTCATGAAAAAATTGTGTAGAAAACAACAATAATTTACACAAAGGTAGAAGTTATTGCCTCTTTTTCAGAGATCACCACATCTCTTTATCAGACTTCTTCAACCGCCGTCACTGCTATATGAACCAGCGACCTCGGATGCCAAACCAAGTCGTCTTTTTTACCAAAATCCTACATAAACTTTTGAAATTCTTTCACATCAAAGTTTATTTATTTAACCCTTGAAATTCTTTTACGGTATTTTTTACATTCATATATTTAGACATAAGATTCAAAAAGTCTTGCGGCAATACTAATGCTTTTATTTTCTTCTTTTCCTTGCAGATACTTCATACGAGAAGGCTTGTAGGCGTGGCTCAGCTCCAGCGACACCCATATTGGGTCAAAAACAACAACAACAAGAACATAATACAACATCAAGATTTACGAATTTCTTTTCGAAACGGTAAGTTGAAAAAAGCGAGTATAAACTTAAAGTAAAATAAATTCAGTAAAAAATTTATTTGAGGATCAGATTTTTTAACTATTTAAATAGTAAAGACTTACGACCAAATTCATAAAAAATAAAGAGGACTTTAACTGCTTTGTAAATCGAATATTTGTATGAAAATGTCACCTTATAGAGCTCTTTAAACCTATTTTATTTTTTATGAGTAAGGCCATTAAAATTTTTTTTATTACATAAGTTTTTACTCGGAATTTTTTATTTCAAGCCAAGAGATATTTGTGTGCTGGCTCCAAACAACTTTAGCAATAAATAAAAGTCCATATAAAAATATAATTATTAGCAGCCGGGGCTAAAACTTTTCCCATCGACAATCACTTTTTCGGCTTTTATATCCGTTAAAAGCACATTACTTCGATCGTGTTATCGAGAGCAATGAATAGTTTAAAGAATTATTTGGTCATGGGGAATTTTAAATAGTTATCTACTTACGAGATCTAAAAGGAAAATGAGTTGCTTTACGAATTCGTAAACTTCATACAAAATTTCGATTTGTTTCATTGAGCCAAGAACTACGCTTCGAAACGTGAGTGAGGTTAGGTTATGGTAATGATGATAAACTCAACGTCCAAGTAGCCGCTAAGTTCTAATCTGCTACCGCAGGACACGCTTAAATATTTTAAAACCATATACCAACCTATACGTTTGATACATTTTAGAATTTTTTGCTGAGGCTGTGTTTTTTTGTTGTTCATAAAGATTATTGTGAAAATTGAACTCAATCTCTCCCGTACCAGTCGATCTTTGTTTAGAAAGCTGGTCATATGCACAGAAATTGTTTCACTTCTACAGTAGTAGTTTGTTGTTGTCGATACCTAGCCGTCTGCCATGGGTGACAATAGGCTAATAACCAGTGGTTTGTTATGTTGCCTTGTCGCATCAAGCCTGAGCTTCACCAACAGCACTTTTCACATAAGAATACCATCATTCAATTCGGAAATATTTTCTGTTTTAAATCCGGATCTGAAAGAATTTAAATCCTACTTAAACTACATATTGATGCGGTGGAGTGTTTACGGATATATTCGGATCATTCAATAATGTCTTCATCGTGGCACTTCTCAGGGAGGTGTTCTATTCCCGTTGATATGAACTATTTTTAATCAACAAGATCTTACTCTAGATGGAGGTAGAGCTTCTATATTAACAGTCTGAGCTGGTAACCTGCCTACATATTAGCATCTCTAGCATATATCGTCACTAGACACGAATAAAGGCGCGCTAGTGTTTTGACGGCGAAAAAAGTCGCGTAAAAAAATTTTGCGAAAAAAGATGCTTATGAAAAACTTCGGCGAAGTATGCTAAGAGTCTTTGACGCTGAAGTTTTTTTATGCGTCTTGTTTCGCCGTCAACTTTTGAGTTCGCGCCTTTATTCGTGTCTAGTGACGATATCCAAACTCGATAAGTGAAATACTCGTGACGACATTTGAAGGTATTTTTAATTGCACAACACGATAGGTAGGTCTCAAATTAAATTCAGCGATGGCACCTTGGTTGCCTTTGTTGAGATAGAGTACGCTAACTACTAAGCCATTTATCAATGCGGAAGGAAGATTATGAAGGTGCCCAATGGATTATACTGTAAATCAGCCGATGTCGTTCCTCGATCCCGTTTTGAAAATAAGCCACAGTAGAGCAAGACGAGTAGAAGAAGGACACCAATCTAATTTTTGGCACCTACCATTTCCTTACGAAAGAATCTTAAAAGACTGAATGAGTGGGAGCTGCAATATCTTGTCAGGAGTTTGGTACCGTATAAGCTTCCGTAATACTGCAGCATTCTCCAGGCCGAGGCTTATTAAAGCACTCAAGTGTGATTTCACGCAACCGACAAGCAAACCTAACCTAACCTATTCATTAGAAATTTAACAGAAACATTTTCACTTAAATGAAACAAACTTTGCAGTTCCCTTTAAGACATTAAAAATTTCCTTTATTAACTTCAAAAACTCTATTTCCACTAACTGGCAGTCTTCCAAGCGACGCAAATTGAGTGCTTAAACAAACTTACGGCAATGCCGCAGCAGCCAATCACCCAGCCAGCAAGCCAACCAACCGAACAATTGGAACAAAATTGTTGCAAAGCAATCACCAAACTGTCAATCAAAGTCAGCAACACCCAAATGACTATTGACATGACAACTGACAATTGTATGCCAGCGGCTAACAGCAAACGTAACAATAAATTGGAGAAAGGCAATGGAAAAGCGATAAAACGTAGATTGCGCAAGTAGGTAAAAGTTTGATTAGAAAACTTGGCAAACCATAAGCAAGTGCAACGGAAAGCGCACTGCATTGAGCTGGCTGGAAGAGGAAATGCCTCGGTTTGCTGCGAATTTCACACGGTGACACCTTGGAGGACGAACTATATCAAATGCCCAGCTTAGCTTTAGGCCGTGTACTTGGTTCATTGATCCTGCCGGCGATGTGTCTGTGTGTGTGGGGGCATGAAAAGTGGCAATGCTGTAATAAATTTTACAATGCGAAATTGCAAATTCAATGTCTGGCCATTGTCATGACAACCGCATGCATGTACTTTGTTGACTAGGCAAAAACGGGTATGCAAGCTCGGGCATTGTTGCCAACAGCATCGTTAAAATTGCTGTCAATCTAGCTGTTAGGCAAATGTTTGTTTTGACATTTTTATAGCACACTAGTTGTAATACTTATTCGAACACATATACATTTGAATGTATGTATATTTGTAGATGTCTGCTTTTGCGCTTTATTGCTACACTGAGGCCATAAAATAAGTGGTGCACATAAAAGTTGCAAATGTTGCGCACGTCTAAATTATTCGACAAACTTGGCGCAAACTGCCGGCAATAACTTTGGCAGCTGCCAGCAGAAACCACATTTGCATGCGATGCATTAACATATAAACTATATGCCTATGTATGTCAGTATTTTAATTGATCGCTGGGGAGCAACCGAAACTATATTGCGAGCACTTGTCACGTCACCCACCTGGCTGGTAGTTGCGTCAGCCCAAGGGGGGCGAGTGCAGCAGCGTGTGCAAAAAGGTAATGTTGCCAGCCAATTGTCCGCCAGCGTTACCAATACATAGGCACTGACTCATTTGCATACATACACAAATACATATTTGCTGGCCGCTTGCAAATTATTGGCGCGTGGGCATCCTCCATCTGCCTTACGGGGCGTTCGACATGTGGCGGCAGGTGTGGCTGTGATGTTGCATGTGAGCATTCAATTTCGCAATTGTTTTTGAGTTGAGAAAAAAGTTTTGAGTTTATCGAATCAGCTGTCAAACTGTTGGCATGGTGGTTAAGTAAAGTTAACTTTGAAGGGTGTAAATAGCAAAAATATATTCACACATGCTGAAAATTTATAATTAATGTATGCATAGATCAATTACTAGTAAGAGACTAGCATTTTTAGGCGCAAAGTTCAAGGTTAAATATACACGAGTACAATTTAAGTTTATGATTTCTCACTATTTTCTGATTTTTTTTTGCGCACACAATTGCTTGCAAATGCTTGAAAACCAAAATTGTTCCGAAAGTTTGCGCAAATCGGTTTGTGCAGCTCGAAAAAAAAGCAGCTTTCAGTGATTTTTATTAATACTTTCAATAATATTTTATTCAGGAACTACAATTAGAAAAAAGTTTGCTCAAACCGGTTTGCACAAACCGTTGCTTTTACATAGCTTTAGCTGTAATACTCATAACTTCTTTGCTTAAAAAATGTTTTTTAACAAAACATCATACTTAAGAGCAGTTAAGTTTGAGCAATCAAGTCTGTACAAATTATTTTTAGTACATCATTATTTTGAGTAGAAAAATTTGTATTTTTCAGTGCACGGTTAAATCTGGCTGTGGTTTAAATTTAGTTTAAGCACTCCAGCCGGCTGGTTTAGTCTAAGATTAGCCAATCAAATATTAGCCAGCTGTGAAACATGAACGCAGTTTAAGTCATTTCAATTTGCCTTAAGTTTAATAAAAAATTCTAAGATACAGAAAAGCTTGGGAATTTGACAAACGATGTTTAACATAAAAAATACCGAAAACAAAATATATAAAATTTAATGAACATTTCTTCCATTCATGTGAGTTTTCCATATCTCAGAGCATCTTCGAAAATGGTTATTGGAACCCGCTGACAGTTGATAAAATCAGAAATATTCGAGTAAAAACTCGAACTACAAAAAGGTTTGTGCGAACCAATTAATTTCAGCCATATCCCGTGCAAAAGTTGTAGCTGTTATGGTTATTAGTTTTAGCATAATTTTTTAATAGATAAAATTTGCAAGTTTGCGCAAACTTTTCAGATGTGACTTGAAATTTCTAACCTGAAAAAAGAAAATAATTTTAGATATCTAGTAAACAATTTCAAACTTCAGAACAAAAATGCACAAATTAGTTTGCACAAACTCCCGTGAATAAATATATTTCATCTATTCTTACAAAAGAACTAGCCAAGAAAAAGTAGCCATACAAATATACATATAAAAAAAGTCTGCGCAAACTTTTGCTTGTACGTTATTCCATGTTTGTTGATTGTGCTGCATTTTATTGGGATTGGTGGCACTGACTTGGATGGCACCTTTATTATCAAAGCTTGGCAGTCTATTAAAAGATCAAATGACAAAATATATATATCCCTTTCTAAATTCTGATTAGAGTTTTTGGTGTTTTCGCCAGGATGGGACTAAAATGTATTTTGAAATGATTTTCCGTCATCCCTTGTAAATTTTGGCTTGGAGACGACAAACTGGTTTTGGCGTTGTGCCATCTTCAATCAAAACTGACAAGGGATGTCGGTAAATCTTTACGCAATACAACTTTTCTAAACCTTTAATTTCCTTAACGTAATTTTAAAATTTACATCACGTTATAGTACTTACTTTTCTCACTCTTCTCATCGCTCTCTTTCAGATCAAATCCCCTTAAACGTACAAAATCAGTTACCAAATTGGAACGCACCAAAAGAGGCTCGGGCGGCTTGCGCGGCTCGCGTTCACATGAGAGTTTGCTCTCCAGTCATGCAGTCATGTCTTCGATCGGTAAGTGATGCTGCAACTTTTAATTTTCTCTGCCTGACTCTGTCTTAACGCTTCATCTCACATCCCACTCTCTCTCTCTCTCTCTTACAGATCTCTCCTGCACCGGCGCCGTTGGCGTTGCGCCAGTACATCAGTCAGTACTCGGCCGTCGACATTGTTTCCAAGTGCGCGGAGGTCCGCGTGGTGAGCGTTACTACGCCTGCGGCTCGCGGCAAGAACGCGATCTCTGGATATACTCATTGCGTAAATCCATCTCGCCCAATGCCGACCACACGCGTCACACAGACAATTCGCTAAAGATGTGGATCTACGAAGCGAAGAATTTGCCACCAAAGAAGAAATATTTCTGCGAGCTACACCTCGACAAGGCCTTGTACGGCCGCACCAGCGTAAAACTACAAACGGACTTGCTTTTCTGGGGCGAATACTTCGATTTTCCCGATGTGCCCGACATCAATGTGATCACAGTGAATGTTTTCCGCGAGGTGGAGAAGAAGAAGAAGCGCGATAAGCATATGTTTGTCGGTTCAGTAAAGATACCCATACATGAGGTTACCTCCCGCATATTTTCAGAGGACTGGTATCCCATACTCAGTGAGAAGTCCAATGACAGCTTGAACCGCAATGGCAAGGAAGTGACACCCACGCTGCGCATTAAATGTCGCTTCCAAAGCACCGACATACTGCCGATCAATGTTTATGCAGACTTTTTGGAATATCTGAAGAATAATTACAAGCGCGTTTGCGAAACGCTCGAGCCGGTAATAGGCGTTAAAGCCAAAGAGGATATCGGGCAGGCGCTCGTCTTGCTAATGCACGCGCAAGGACTAGCAGGCGCCTTTCTAACCGATGTCGTAGCGTTGGATCTACTGCGAGTTGGCGATCAACGGCTCACATTCCGCGGTAATTCGTTGGCGACCAAGAGCATGGAAGCTTTTCTCAAACTCACAGGCGAACAGTATTTGCAGGACACGCTATCGGCGCCAATCAACGAGATCATACAATCCGATCGCGACTGCGAAGTGGATCCGACAAAGGCGAGCGGTTCGCTGCAACGACAGCAGGCTTCACTGCGCGCGGCAGTACGCAGTGCCTGGCAATGCATCTACGAGTCACACAAACATTTTCCTCAGCAGCTGCGCTCGTGCTTTGCAACCTTTCGCGAGCGCTTGCAACAGTTGGGTCGGCTGGATATGGCAGATAATTTGATATCGGCATCCATATTTCTGCGCTTCTTGTGCCCAGCGATACTGTCGCCCAGCTTGTTCAACATTACCAATGGTAAGTGTGAATGTATATATGTATTTGTTCTTTATTAATAGTTGTCACTCTCTCTCCCGCACAGAACTCCCTTCCGCGCGCGCTACTCGCAATCTGACGCTCGTCGCTAAGACACTCCAAACGCTGGCGAACTTCACACGCTTCCAGGGCAAGGAAAGCTTCATGGAATTTCTCAACGATTTTCTCGAGCAGGAGGCGCCACGCATGAAGGAATTCCTCCAACAGATCTCTACGCGCCCTGAGCACGCTCCGCCTGAGTCCATACTCGACTGGGCGGGCTACATCGATCAGGGCAAACAACTTTCCATTTTACACATACTGCTCACTGAGAGCATCAGCAAGCTACCAGAGGCGCGGCAGCATGAGCTCGACCCACTACAGCACATCATAGATGAGATTAGTAAAGCCAAAGAGAGCAACAACTTCTTGCAACACATGCCGCATATGTGTTCCACCTCGCACACGCCCACTGAGAATCAGGAGAACCGCAATCCCGAGGATATGGCAATGCAGGTGCAACAACATCAACAACCGATACAACACCAAGCACAGCTGGCGCAACCCCAGCATGCAGTCGTCACAAAACCCATGCCAGCGGAACGAGGCATCATGCGCGGCGTCTTGACGCCTAGCTCGCTTGAGAAGAACATCTTCCGCTATAACGACCCCACAGTGAATGCGCTACTGCAGCAGCAGCAACAACAACAACAGCATCAGCAGCAACACCACGCGCATGCGCACTCGCATCAGCTGCAGTCACAGATTTCCATGGGCAGCAATAGCGGTCTCGACAAACGACACTCAAATTCGCAGAGCTCCATCGCGGGCGGCTACATGAGCACTCAGTTGCAGCACGCGCAATCGCAGAGTTCGCTAGCCTCTTCATCGTTGAATGGTGGTGGCGGTGGCAGCAGTCACAATTTGCTCGTCTCGGCCAACGTGCAGCATCATTGCCCGCCCGCACCTGCCGCTAGCGCCAACAACACCATTGAACGCTTGCTCATCGGTGGCGGCGGTGGCAGCGGCAACGCGCACTACTACGGCCTCATGGGCTCCAGCAATGGCAACATGTCCTCCTCGCTGGCCAGTAGCAGCAATTTGAGCAGCCACAATGGCAATGAGAGCGACGGAAATGCTGCCAGCATGCTGCGCGCCACTACGCTGCCACGCGGCAACAATAATAATTACGACGAGCTAGCCAATGGCGAGTTCATACAAATTTCCGGCTTGGATACGAACAGCGCCTTTGTGCGTAAGTCACCAACGCCACTGCTGAAGGGCAATGCAGCGCTGTTGCAGCAACAACAAACCGCCGCGCAGCAGCAGCGACAAAAGTTACATAATTCGAATGTTAGCCTAGTGCTGAACGAGCGCGCGCCAAGCAAACTGAATTTGGGCATACCTGATCATAGCGGCGCCTCGACTCCGCATGCACACAAGCTGCCAGCATACCAAAGACCGCCACCCGCAACAGGCGCACATGTGCATGCCGCGCGCGACTCTAATCCGCACCCTAATATGCCAATGAATCTAGAGGACCTGGACGACCTTTTCAAGTACGCTGAGGAGCATGCGGTTGTGGGTGAAGTTGTATCCGCGGGCGCACATGTGCCGCAGCAAGCGGGTGGCCAGCTGAAGAGCGTACGCGAACAGCTATCGGCTAAGAGCAGCCACTGCTCGTCTGGCTATCAGAGCATCACCACCAATCCGCCGTCACAGTCGTCGAGCCCCACTGAGGTGCAGCAGCAGCAACAGCTGCAGCAGCAAAAAAATGGTGCCAATGCGCCGTTGGCATTCAAGAATCCCACTTACCAGCTGCAGCAGCAGCAGTCTGCTGGGAGCGCAACGCCCGCACATCATCACCACCACCATCACCATCATCAGCGTGTCAACTACAGCAGTGGATTCCATGCCGGTGGTGGTGGTGGCAGCAACGGCCAACAGCAATCCGCGCACCAACAGCTCTTCGGCTCAAATGCCGCGCAGCGTCCCAAGGGTTTAGTAGCTGCGCGTGCCGCGCTTTTGAATAACGGCGGCACGTTGACGCCGTCTTCCTCTGAAGAGCGTCTCTCCACAGACAATTTTCATGGCTATGGCGGGAATACCAAAGTAATGAAATCGCCTTCACATGGCCACTTGGAAGCGCAGCGCTCACTCAGCGGCGGTAGTAGCTCATCGTCCTCGGGAGCCAATGGGGGCATGGGACCGATTTCAATACAGTCGTCGGCAAGTGGTGGCGGTCGCGTGCCGCGCACCAATCCGCAATTCAAGCGCGAGGATATTTACGCTCCGCTGAATGGAAGTAGCGGCAGTTACATGCCAGCAGCAGTAGCAGCTTCCACCGCAGCGAGCGGACTCTTCAGCAACAATGGCTTCGGTAAGTCAGGTGGCGGCGGCGGTTTGGTGCACAGTGGCGCGAATTTGGGTGGACGCTTTCAGCGGCGCTTGAGTTTGGACTCGGCACGCACACTGTCCGATAGCTCTACGGACACAGAGGGTGAGTAGGAAAGCACATAGGCAATAAAATGCAAGTACTTAAATTTTGTTTGATCTCTTTAACTCTAACAGGTCACTGCGCGCCACATGAGGGCAAGCGCCGTCGTCAGCCACGCGCCCATACCACCTCTAGCAGTCATCAGCAGCACATCGCGGCCGCTGGCAATAGTAGTACAGGTGGCAGTGCTGGCAGCGCAAATAGCGGCAGCTTTGATCAGAATGGTGAAATACAGCTGCTACAGGAAACTTTAGACACGCTGCGCCACACGCTCGATCGCGACGAGGCAGAGCTGCGCGACTCTAGCGATGAGTTATTCGGGCTCAATCGACACAACAGCGCCAATGGTGGCAGCGGCGGCAGTGGAGTGAGCAACTTGAGCATGCAATCGGAGTCGACAATGCGCAGTATTATCGATAGGTGAGTGCATGCGCTTGAGTCGGGCGGTCACTTGAAAATACTAATTTTTTTTTGTTATGTTACAGGCTCATCACCATGGAGGAGGAACTGCGACGCGAACAGTTGAAGATGTCGCTCGCCTTGTCGCACAAGCAGCGCGTCATCGAGGAGCAGGGTCAGCAAATTGCCGCGCTAGATGCGGCTAACAGTCGGCTGCTGAGCGCACTCACAGCGCTGCGGCAACGCTATGAAACGCAGCAGCAGGCGCAGCAGCAAGCGAATTTGGCAAGCAGCGGAGGCGCACAGCAGCAACAACAAGCGCAGTAAATATTTGAAGGCGGATAGCGCGTAAAGAAGTCGTTTTAGTGGTAGCAGGAAAAGGATATATATATATAATTTTTAATTGAATACATTAAATTATTAATGCATATGTATGTACGTAGTTGACGCCGCAGTGTATACGCGGCAACATGACACAAAGATTAAAGTAGTGTAGATTAAAAACAAAATATTGTATTTATAAAAAAAAGGCATTAAGCTTTCAAATCGCGCGCTAGGTTTGAAGAAAACATTAAAAGCTTAAAAATTGTTTTTTCATGCGTTGGTTGCTTATCATATTATATTTTGTTGCAAAATTTTTTACTTTTTTTAAATAAAAAAATTTTTCATTTTATTTTTTTTTCCAAAATTAAATTGTTAAATAAAATATTCAGAAGAACTGCCAGTTGGTATTGCCGATTTGGTTTTAAAGTTTATTTTCAATGAAAATTCGATGTTTTCATTTTCATTTTTTTATCAGTTGTTAAGCTTTTAAAAAAATTCCAATTTTACAAAAAAAAAAGAAATTTGTTCTTTACGCAGTTTTTATTTTTGCTGTGCTCTCTACGACCTCTCTGCATTTTTTCCTAATATTAATACCTTTGTTTGTATTTAAAAAAAAATATGAATTGAAAATTTGTATAATCCAAAAATACACAAACTCTTTTTAATTTTACTCTTTTAAATACTAAGCGTTTACATTTATTTAATCTATTAGCTTTTAAGCGCAAATATTTAAGTATTCATATTTTAATGAAATTTTTGAAATCAAAAATTGAATAAAATGAAATAAAAATAATATCGATAAAAAATTAGAACAATATTTGTGTACATATTTATAATTTAAGGCAAAGCATGAAAGCTTATTTTTGCATTTACTTCACCTCTTCTGTTTCTTTTTTACACTCTCTTTCAAGCTTTCACACAAAGTTCATCAGCCGAAGCGTGAAAGCCCAAAAAAAAAGTTACGCTTTGGTCGGCGGGCTGCAGCGGGCTCTAGTCACTGTAACTCCTATACGTATACACATGTACTTGTGTGTGTCACGACCAAAATATTTGAAATTGTATTTGTTTTTCTAAACTAAATACAGAGGCTTTGGGTAATATTTTTCTTAACATCCCTTGTCTTTGCTTTAGAATTTTTTTATTGAACAATTTAAGTTTTTTCCCTCAAATATCCGCTAAAATATTTCTATAAAATTTACTTAAAAAATGCTGTTTAGTAATTAAGTTGTCCACTTGAAAAAAGCGTTATGTGATTTTATAATAGTAAGCCATGAATTAAAAAAAAACAACGACTACGACAACAAGTTACATCTAAATTGAATATCTTTTTTTGATTACCTGAAAATTTGGATAAATACATAACATGACATAACATAACATTAACAGCCCTAAAGCAGTTTTCTAAGTTCATCTGAAGATGGAAACTTTAGAAAGTTTATAAATATGTATGATAGCGACTTTTTCAAGAAGAGTTAACATTTGATGCTATTCTTTTCAGAATATAGAAAGATTTTCCACTGTGTTGTTAGTACACATGAAACTACTTTAAATACTAGTAGGTTACCCACCAAAAAATAAAAATCGAAAAAAGTTTACATAGCGCACTTTGCAATTGGGCTACTCAATGCAGCTTCAATCAAATCCATCTTTAACACAACAAAAAACACCGCAAAAAATTCAAATCAGCTTCCCTCAAGTTAGTGGGTGCACAGAAGTGTACTTTACTAGCCTTTAGCAACAATTTGGTTTCATATACATACGTATGTTGCAAGCAACATTAGCAGCATGTTAGCAGAACTTTGTACCCAAACACTAGGAGGTCTATCCACAAAGTAGAGCAACATGTGCGTTAGCCACATTATTACTCGCCACATTGTTGCAGATGCTTTCATCTCACCTTTGCTTTGCGAACACAATGAAAACGACGAGCTACAAACCACAGCTGTCAAATTATTTTAACACGTGCTCTTATGTAGATAATTATTTTGGCGACGATCGAGCTACGCGACGGCTGTGGTTGTGGCCAGATTAGATCTATTTCTATTTTTCTGGCGACAGATAAGGTTCTTCCTCTTCTTTTATGTCAAACTCATACAAATTCATGATGTCGCTGCCGCGTTCAAAGAAATCATGTCGCCAACGACAAAGCGTTTAGATAATGAAGATGACAAATTGGAAGCTGTGGTCTGTAGCTCGTTGTTTTCAATGTGTTCAGAACTTTATGTGCGCCTAGTAAAATCTGAGATGGGTGAACATGAGATTTGATGGCTGCCGAAATTTGATGGCACTCTTCTAGTACCTAATTATTGCATACTTTTAGTCGTTGGAAACCAAACGAAATTTTATTCTGTTCTTGTGCTTTCATTGAGAAACAAACATAATTGCACAACTTTTCAAAAACATACACCTGACTTTTTAAACGATAAAAAGACAACGAATTTTCAAAACTACCAGACTGGAAATTCTCTATGCAAAATCCTTATTTTGTCCAGCGCCTGGCTAAATTTCTTCAACTAAGATTTTTTTTGGTAGTAGCAAAACAGGCCTTGGCGATGATGAACTACAGTTATGACAACTATTCCGGTGCTTAATAATGAATGGGTCGATTACGGCTTTGTAAATGAACTTCGGTTGCGTTGCCAGTAGCTGAAATGGTTTTACGGATGGCAACTAGCAACTGATTTGCTTTATTGGCAACTACATTTTTGTGGTTGCCGGGGCAAATTTGATAGAGAAAATGTATACATATATCACCTGTTTCTGCAAATCGAACCATAAGTTTCATAATTTTCTTAAACTAAAAGCTGCCTTAACAGTGGCTAGATTAGTCAAAATAATTACTTCAAGTGTTTAAAATAAGGACTGACTCCACCAGCGAAACATTGCCGCCGATAATCAGTTGGTGCCACAGCATCAGATGGTTAATTCATTTGAATGCTATGTTACCCGTAGGTTTCTTGACGAAATTTTCATATCGAAGGAGCTTTTTTCCCCCGCCTGAATTGGCTGTAAGATGGCAAATTTTGGCTAAGGTTGTACGACCTTTTTGCAATCGAAGTATCGTCCAACTGCCAGCAGCCAGGACTAAATCTTTGAGTTTTTCTGAATTTTTCTGCGGAACTTTCAACTATCGGTTGGATTTACTACAGTCAGAAATTTCTTGCAGATCAACAATTTTCGGGCTCATTTTGTAAAACATATTTAATACAGATTTTGTAGAAAAAAATGTGAAAAATCGGGCCTCAAATATTACTTTCAGCCCAAAGATGTATATACAAATTTTCTGTAGAAACATTTTTAGGTCTTCAAAAGATAGCTTCAGGCAGTCCTTTACACCCACAATTTTTTATAAAAATTTTGCAAAAACTTTATGAGAAATTCACGCTTGAAGCTTTTAAGACAAGAATACATCGGTCGTACGACCTTTTGGCAATCGAAGTATCGCCCATCTGCCAGCAGCCAGGACTCAATTTTCGCATTTTCTGAATTTTTGTGCGCAACTTTCCACCATCGGTTGGACTTACTACAGTCAGAATTTTCACCAGATCAACAATTTTCGGACACGTTTTGTAAAAAATATCTAATACAGATTTTGTAGAAAAAAATGTGAAAAATCGAGCCTCAAGAATTTCTCTCAGCCCAAAAAATTATATAAAGATCGTCAAGTGGTTCGTCAAGTTGGAGAAAAATCAAATTTTTTAGATTTTTGAGCCCAAAAAATGTATATAAAGGTTGCAGAAACATTTTTAGGTCTTCGAAAGATAGCTTAAGGCATGCTCTATATGGTGGTAAATAAGCCGTGTGTAGGCAAGTTGGCAAACCTTCGTCAAGTGGTTCGTCAGGTTGGAGAAAAATCAAAATTTTTTTATTTTTGAGGCAGATCGGTCAACTTGTTGCTCTGTTTGTAGACAAGTTGGCAACCTAAAATGCGAGCGCATTAACGGTGACATGTGTTTTTTCGGTTCGTTTCCCTAGTGAAAATGTGTTTAATTTGTGAAAACGGCGGCGTGAGCAATAACAAATACATAGAAATGAGAAGCATTCCTAGCATAGTTTAAAAGTTTATCGGTGCTGTTGTGTTATTCACAGTTCAAAAACTCTCACTCAAATGAAATCCGCCAACTGGTTGGTGCGTTTGTAGGGAATTATCTTCTCCAATATCAGATGAAAGAAATCACATGAAAGGGAGTCAACTTGTCTGAAATCTCGTTTGGTATTAAAAGGCACGGAGATGTCCTTCTTAAAGCTGACGGAGCTAGCGGTATTGCTTATCGTCAGTTTATACATCCGTATTATTTTCGCGGGGATATAAAATTCAGATATCGCGGCATAGAGACAACTTCTCTTCCTACTGTCAAAAGCAGTTTTAAAGTCGACAAGTGGATGTTGTGTGTCGCTCCTATTCTCGCCTGACCTATGGTGGATTTACTAAGTCTAACCACATATGGATAAGGCACAATCAGTACGTTTGCGGTGGGCTTCTGTCTTTCACAAAACACACTCGACAAGGCCTTGAAACCTTTGCTTAAAAAGCTGATCCCACGGCATTTGGCCCGAATAGCGGGGTCGCCTTTCTTGTGGATTTGACAGAACACGTTTGATTTCTAGTCATCGGGCATGCGTTCATCTGCCCATATTCTGCATACGAGTTGATGCATGCAGCATGCACCTTATCAACTCCTTGCCGCCGCAGTTGCATAGTTCGGCTGGCAGGTCATCAGCTCCAGCAGCTTTGTTGTTTTTCAGCCGCGTAATTTCAATTCGTAACTCATCATAGTCAGACGGTGGGTTCATCTTCTTCACGACCTTCATTTCGGAAAAAACCCTATGGAACATTCCCAAAGAGAACAAGATGCGAACAGGCCTTTCGAGAACATTTCTATGAGAACAAAACGGGGACAAAAGTCTCCGGAACGTTTGGCAAAGAACAAAACAGGAACAAAAGTCTAAGGAACTTTTTCTCGAGGAACAATTTGGGAACTGAGGTTTCAAAAAACTTTCTGACAAAAAACGAACCGGGAAAAAATCTTCCTTTAACTATTCGCAAATAATAGATTTTTCTCATAGCGTTGCATTAGTTTGAAATGTTTGAGTATTAAAATTAATCAAAAAAGAACTGAAAGATAATTTTGCAAATAAAGTCAACGAAAGACTTAAGACACGAACTTTTATTGCACGGAAAATGAAAACTTTGTTCCATAAATGGAAAGTTCAACCTAATGATAAGCGATCGGGAGGTTGGAATGATCCAGCTTTCCTCTGGCTTAGAATTAATAATCGTGGTTTTCACTGAGACGATTTTTCAACCCAACCACGCAGACGCCCCTATCATTCTTAACGTTAAGTTCTCAAAACGTTTGTTCTCGTTTTGTTCTCTAGCAGAACGTTCCCCAGACTCGTTCTGGATACTTTTGTTCTTAATTTTTTCTCATTGGAACCGTTCGTGAAAGTTTCGTTCTCATTCTGTTCTTCTTGAGAACATTCCGGAGAGTTTTGTTCGCATTTTATTTTTTTACTGCAGTGGTCGGCATACTAACACATTCAAACGATTCAATAAGTGAGACTGTGTACGTTAAATGCACTGCTCAGCTGCCGCTCTTCGTATACGTGTGAAACACACATGTCTCAGAGAGCGCTCACTGAGCTAT